TGGCATTCTTTGAAGATTCAGACATAAATCTGATGCAATGGCCAGGACAGAGCCCTGACCTTAATCCCATTGAACATTTGTGGGACGAGCTTGAACGACGTATTAGACAACAGGACCCACCACCAACATCTGAGAAAAAACTGGCTGAAATTCTTCAAGAAGAATGGAAGAAAATCCCAAACACCATATTTCAAAATTTAATTTTAAGCATGAAACGTAGAGTAAAAGCAGTTAAAAATGCTAAAGGTTATGCAACCAAGTATTAATAAAAATTTTATTATATTTTGCTTCACAACTATGCTTGAATACTATTCTGAACGCATGGGTTACTAAATTTTTACCGCATTTTTACATAATAAATTTTATAATTTTATTTCTCAACAAATAAGCAAGATAACAGCGTGAAAATTTTGTATTCGATTAAGACATTCAAATGTATTTAAATGAATATTAATTTGTATGGTGTCGTAACATAACTTTTTTATGTACTTCTTTTTAAACGTTTAGGTTGCGAAACATGATTTATCGATTTTCGGTTAGATAAATTTAGGCATAAGCAAACTCAAAATCTTACATATTAATATGCAACGAAATTTTGTAGGAATATAGCTTAGAAGATGCGCAAATAATGGTTAAATTTTATTGCGTTTGGATGGTTGACTATAGTGTTATGCGCGATCGACGAAAAATTTAAGGGGTGGTCGGAGACTTTTGAGTAGGCACTGTAGTACGTATGGACGATAGAGATTTTCGAAAATAAAGGGGTTTCATATGTTTTACTAGTAAAATTTCGTTTTGCCGTAATATAATAATAACGCTGTAGTGAATCGGTGTAATGCACAAAGTACCCCAAAATTGAGATGGTCCCTAAAAATCTTTCTCATTGTGAGTCATATAATGGCATACACATCACTTCAATTATTCTTACAATTAACGCTAGTTTTGTGACATCGACTGTCACACTCTACAACCACAGTGCTACAAGCCCACCGTACACTGCTCGATACAACACTTGGGCTCTTGTTGCCTCTCTCAATGTTTATTTGTCGCTGAGGTATATCATCTAACTCAGGAAATTCGGCTGTTTCCACTAAATTCAAGTCAAAATCCCAGAGGTACATCCTAGCCGAACTTTCTTGCAAGGTAGTAATGGCCGATACATAATGTATCGATCGATACGTGGAATTAGAACAGTGACTATAGATCCAACTTGAAAATCTTTGTCGACCGATTTTCCTTTTGAGAATGAGGAAGTAGAGATACCGAAGAGCATTTCATACAAAGAAGTACACTGCCATTCAGACAACGCTAATGTTTTTAGAACAAAATCGTAATGACAACATAAAAGTCAGTAGAGATGATCTGTTGCTATACGACGATTATTGTGTGATAGAGAAACAAAATCAATTAAATTGGTTTGCAGCAAGCATCAAAATAACGAGTTTATCGCACAATGCCAAATTAATATTATTTATGTACTACCGCAGCGCAATTTACCTGCGCAGGTCGCACAACCCGACACGTCGTACAGTCCATAATATTTCTCTTTATGGAGGAGAAGCTGAAGGGATAATGTTGTGCGACATGGCAGGTAAATTCCCGCTTATCATTCCGCAGCTGTGTGTTGATTTCCGTGACACAGTCGGAGTGAATACGTCCCGTTTACACCGTAGCATCACAATGTCATCATTGTTTACAATGAGTAGATGTTATTTTCAATGAACAGCACGTGTAAAAAGTTTGCACAGAAATCAAAAGATGGTTGTGAGACCGCATATCTCAGAGCGAAATTAAGCAGTTCTATGAATTCCGAGTAAGGAATCCATTCAAGTCGTAAGTATTTATCTTTACTTTCCAAGGAGGATTGAACCAAGTTGTCAATCGCTGGATTATTAGCCCCTGGAACTAAGGACATTTAGTGACCATTTAACGACTTTGCCATTAAGATTTGTTATTTAATCGACCAATAAATTCATATGTTTTTGCTCTGTAAATTACGCATTATTGGCGGTTACACAATACACATATGTAGTTAGGCCGTCAGAAAAGCGACGGTCGTGCTATTTATAAAAATTGATTGCATATACAGTCAAAGGGTGTATGCAATAACAGATTAAGCCCGAACTCGGGACCAGACAAAAGTATGTATGTATTATGCATTAGAGGAGTTTGACTAGGAACGTGACTGTGACTAATCACTATGAGAAAACCGGGACCGAGGAGGTCGACTGAATGAATGCATTGTGTGCTGTGACGCATTTATCCAAGGTTATGTAACATGACGTTGGACGTCAGTGTCATAGTATACTATCAGTGTCACATCTAACAACTTGGTATTTATTCAAAGTACATCAAATCGTATAGCGCATAACGCTGCACTTTTTTATCTATCTCGTCCATCTAAATCTTTGTTTATATTAATATTAATATTGAAACCTTTCGTGCAACATTTCTGATTGTAGTAATAGAAGAATGGAAATCATTTCTGATCGCTGCTTGTACCACAAAAACACGTCCCGACTTTCAATTTTTATAATTGTGCGGAGTATTCCAGATTTTGTATTGTGTTAAGCCACATATTTTTAGTGGGCTGAAAAAAAAAAAGAAAAAAAAAAGATAATGTCTTCCGACGTTGTTGCTCAGGAACAAGCTGCTTTCGACGCCGAAGTGGCCGACGTTAAGAGGTGGTGGAAAACTGAACGTTTTCGCCTGGTCAAGCGTCCTTACTCTGCCGAACATATTGTCTCTAAACGTGGATCCTTGAAGCAATCGTATGCGTCTGATACACAGGCTAAGAAATTATGGGCTTTGTTAAAGCAACATCAGAAGAATAAGACTGCTTCTCATACCTTTGGCGCACTAGATCCTATTCAAGTTGCCCAAATGGCAAAATATCTAGAAACTGTTTACGTTTCCGGTTGGCAATGTTCATCTACTGCTTCCACTTCCAATGAACCCGGCCCGGATCTTGCCGATTATCCTATGGATACTGTTCCTAATAAGGTTGAGCACTTATTCCTGGCTCAACAATTTCACGACAGGAAGCAACGTGAAGCTCGTTTTAGTTTGTCGAAAGAACTGCGAGCCAAAGTAGCGTATGTTGATTATCTGCGGCCCATTATAGCTGATGCCGATACTGGTCATGGTGGCATTACGGCAGTCATTAAACTGGCTAAGATGTTTGTCGAACGAGGTGCGGCTGGCATTCATATTGAGGATCAGGCCCCTGGTACTAAGAAATGTGGACATATGGCTGGGAAAGTACTGGTTCCTATTTCGGAACATATTAATCGATTGGCTGCCATCCGTGTTCAATTTGATATTATGGGAGTTGAGAATCTGATTGTTGCTCGAACCGATTCAGAGGCTGCTACATTGATCACTTCAAATATTGATTATCGTGATCACTCGTTCATCGTTGGATCAACAAATCCTAAGCTTCGTCCGTTGGTTGAAGTCTTGGATAAAGCTCAAGCTGCCGGCAAGACTGGCGAGGAATTGGCGGCTATCGAGAACAAATGGGTTACTGATGCTGGTTTGAAGTTGTATGGAGACGCAGTGGCTGACGCGATTAAGATTTCGAATAAGCCCGATAAAAATACGCTGTTGAAGACGTGGAATGCTAAAGTGAACACTTTACCACACGATGATGCTAAAGCTTATGCTAAATCGATCGGGTTCGATTTGTTCTGGGATTGGGATGCCCCCCGCACTCGGGAAGGATATTATCGATATCAAGGAGGTACACGATGTGCTATTAATAGAGCTGTTGCGTATGCACCATATACTGATCTCATATGGATGGTGAATGTTATTTACATTTAGATGCTGTTTTAATTAATAACCCTATGTAGCGGATTGTTCATCTTTTATCTTGTTCTATATCAACTTCTGCAGGAAACGAAAAGTCCTATATACGCACAAGCGAAAGAATTTGCTGAAGGTAATGAATCTATACATCACTGTCGTAAATTTCACGTATACTACTTGAATATGCTAATATAACCTTTTGATTTTGGCAGGCGTTTTAGCCGTGCATCCTGAAATAATGCTAGCGTATAACTTATCCCCTAGTTTTAATTGGGATGCAGGTTAGTGAAGGTTATGCATGCGTTGACTCGAGAGTTACACGTTCTTATCTAATATTATACGACAATCAGCTGGAATGAACGACCAACAAATTCGCAGCTTCATTTGGGACTTGGGCAAGTTGGGATTTGCTTGGCAATTTATCACACTTGCTGGCTTTCATTCAGATGCACTTGGCATTGGTAACTAGATCCGATAAAGTTAACGTGAATACGTTCCTCTTTGTAAACCTGGACTAATATCATATGAACGAACGAATCTTAGATGTATTTGCTCGCAATTATGCTAAAGAGGGAATGCTGGCATACGTGGCTGGCATACAGCGCCAAGAAAGAGCAAACGGGGTGGAGACATTACAACATCAGACATGGTCAGGAGCCAATTACTACGATTCCTTGAGTAAGTATCTCAACACATTTATGGTAGCTTTCTCGTTATGAGAGTGTGTAATTCATCTACTGATATGCGATGTCAATTATGCAGTCAAGACTGTCCAAGGAGGCATAGCTTCTACAGCTGCTATGGGTAAAGGCGTTACGGAGGATCAGTTTAAAGGGACTTAACTTCTGAACTTGAGCACGTAGAGTCACATCTACATACATGAAATAATCAATGATTTACAGATTAGCTGTTGTAAATCATGTGATTACGCTTTGTTTGAATGCCTGAAGTTGATACCACGTTCAGTAATTATACGCAATAGCCACCATTGCTTATAATTAGTTCACAATTAAGACAGAATTGTACTTTCGATCACAACTTGTGCTGTTGACGCCTCCGTTTTGAAGATTAAATTTAAATTAAAAGTATTTTCAATTGGATTATAGTAGTGATTGTCAGAGGGTCAATCTAAACCCATAGACGATTGTCGTCCTCCCAACAGTCTCATTTTACGTACATACTTTGTCTTTGTGCTCTTGCTCTCGACATTGTTTATCTAAAATCATTTTGCTCTGTTTACTATATATCCTTCCAAAACGCTACTTTGGTATTCAGATAGCGACTGACAAGTCGATAAAACTTGGCATTTGTGGCGGCCGAATCCTGGTTGCACATCGCTTTATTATTGTGCAATGGTTACTAATACTAATACCATTACAATATTGTGGCTTAAACCTGGTACTCGGCGCATCTTTTCCAAATTTATCTACACAATATCACTTGATGAAAATATTATTAGTTTTAAATAATAATACCCGTGGGCCTCTTGTTTAATTCTGGACACACAATTAATCAATTCGCTTACAAAAGAATACATATAAATTCGCTTTCTTACAAGTTCCATCTGTGGGCGTTCTTTCAAATCATTATTATTTGTTGACTGCTCCAGGTCTCCCGCTGAATTATTGAGCCGCGACAGTTTCGGTAAGGAAAAGCTTTAGCAAATGTGACTTTCCTTAGTCTTAGGACAACCTTGACATAAAACTCTTCTCATTATCTCCAGACAGTGTTTCTTACAATACCGTTTAACCATGGAAACTGATAAACAACTATTTGGTGAAAATAAACAATCCAACGGCAGATGTAAGCATGGTCTTAGACTCTGTTGTATCAACCATGTTTTTTCAGTGAATAATATTGAATTCACAGACTAATAAGACGACTCGTTTGTCTTCATAGGTAACGAACCAAAACACGTCAAGGATATAAAAGCCGAATCAAAAAACGCCAATGGCCATCCCAATTTGATACAGGCGACATTCCAAAAGATGTTCCACTTGGATGTTCCAGATAAACCGAAATCGACAAAAAGTTCATCAAATACTAGTTCTGAATCCGAAGAAGACAAAGGCGAATCTAATGTTCCACGTGGTGAAAAACGATTGTCTTCAACGACAGCTGGATCAAAGCTACGTTTCCAGAAATTACCAACCGGTTCACATGCACACAATTTACAACCAAGCAAGAGGGCTCATCGCGTTTCCGCTATTTTGAGAGAACTTGGATTTATTTCTCATAATCACTACGAAGAGCAAACCCAACCATCTCATAGTAATGCATCTAGCGAGAAATCCTCGCGAAGCGAGTGTTCCTTCGCCGAAAAATATGGAACGTGTAGAGAGATTATTGGCAAAGGTATGCACCAATACCGAATGCTATTTTTCGGCATTTAAAATAAGAGAATTAAAATTGTCTTGATTGATACAGGCGCCTTCGGTATTGTTCGTATCGCTCATAAAGCTGAAGCAAAAACCCCAGGAGGGAAACTGTTCGCCGTCAAGGTAAATATATTGTCATGATACTTTTAATTAGGGTGCAATAAATGACTGAGATTTGATACTAATATTTTTCTTATTTGCTTTCCTTTCAACATTTCCATGTCATGACATCAACTATTATGTTTTTCTTTGTTGTTATGTAGGAGTTTAGAAGGCGTCACAATGAACCAACAAAGAAATACATTAAGCGACTTACCTCCGAATTCTGTATCTCATCATCCTTACATCACTTGAATGTTATTGATACCTTGGATCTAATGCAAGATACACAAGGAAAATACTGTGAGGTAATGGAATACTGTGCTGGTGGAGACCTTTACTCGCTAATTGTTGCGTCTGGCGGTTTGGAGCTTGAGGAGGCGGATTGTTTCTTCGGCCAATTGATCAACGGAGTCAAGTATTTACACGATAATGGTGTCGCTCATCGGTAGGCTGCTGTTCTGCCGGCCAACACTGTATGCCGGATTGAACGTTTAATGAATACAAATTTGTCTTTTCTTACTCTAGCGACTTGAAACCCGAGAATTTACTTCTCACTGCTGCTGGATGTTTAAAGATTACCGACTTCGGAAACGGTGAATGTTTCCGAATGGCGTGGGAAACTCAGGCTCATCTTTCGCGTGGTGTTTGTGGCAGTGAGCCCTACATAGCACCGGAAGAGTTTACTGGGAATTGGTTTGATCCCAGATTAGTAGACATATGGGCTTGTGGTATCATATACATGTGCATGATAACCGGTAGACATTTATGGCGCATTGCTAAATGGCAGGAAGATGGTCAATACCGGCTATATACTGAAGCAAAGGCAGACGGCCGTGTTTTAAGTCAATTTCAGGGGTTGAATAACGTAGTGTATACACTTTTTATTTATATGAAGACTATGCAATATGTTTTATTGATTGAGTTAGCTTGGGATACCCGACTAATTGTTGTTGCAATATTGTTTAGGGTCGTCGTCGTGTGATGAACAAGATAATTGAACCAAATCCCAAACTTCGTGTTACTGCCGAGCAGATCACTCAGGATTCATGGTTTGCCAAAATAGTTATATGCTTCAGGCCTCTTTCTACAGGATCATCTGGTGTTGCCGGAACTTGTTGTGCTAGCAGCCATCAGGAATCTGTGCTGAGTAACAATTATAATGTAGTTTCATAGGCAAGACGTCCACACGAATTAGCTTCCCTTTCATTTTTACACATTTACTTCTGTATCATATTTACCTGTCTAATTAATCTAGATTTGTATTCTTAATTTATATAACAATAAATGCTCGTGTCTTAATATGCTTATACGTTGCGGTTCATCGAGTATTTCGACACGCGAATTCCGGTTGAATACGTGTCATAATGCACCAAGTTGAACCGCGGGTCAACAAAGGCTGAAAGGAACCTTAATATTAAAACAAAGCGTGGAATATTATTACTCACGACCACATTTGTGAGACAAAATGTTTTTCCATTACACGTATTGCGATTCTGTTTCCTACATGTGTCAATATTAATATTGTTTTTGGCAGGCTTTAAATCGGTTGTCAGTTATAAGCGCTTTTCTTTTTCTTGGTTGGCCTTCGGCTAGATAAAACTATTATTAGAAATAATATTAATTAGGAAAGAGTTATTGATTTCGACGTTCCTGTGAAACGGATACAAGAGCTAGAAGATGTCAATCGACAATTATTATCCGAGAATGCAGCGATTAGGTGAAGTATTTAATGACCAACAAGGTCGTATTAAATCTGTGACAGAAATTACCGAGAGAGAACGAGGTAATTTGTACAGTGATATAGTAAGTATGACGAAAAATCATAAACGATTTGGTTTAGAAAGTCTTTTGGAGTATTCTCCTTCAAAATGGCTAATCCGGTCATTGTGAGGTTTATCGAAACTCTTACCATAATGGTGACGAACATCAAAATGAAGGGGAGAAGCTTTTTAAATGTGCCGTAGCAGTTGATGCTATATACGGATCAAGGCGTCTGAAATATGTCTCTGCTATTAATTTGGCCGTTTCAGCAATCAAATATTCGTTAACAAGATCAAGAATGGTCATTGACATCGATAACCACATTATGAGCTCCGGTTGCTATAAGAAGTTTACTAATTGGTTAGAAAGTTTGGCTATAGAACAGCCACAGCTTCCCAGGGTCTTTTATTTTTAGCCTTTGACAATGAACAGAAAGGTCAAAAATTACTTAGATCGTGGACATATTCCATACCATTACGAGTTTTGTCGCCTTTTAATTACGATTAAAGTAATATTCCGATCACGTTTTCGAGGCTACCCCGTGAAGAAGTTAGAAATACTATATTGTCCGAAAACGTAATAAAGAATAATAGTTGAAAAAGTTGAAATATAACATTATCAATAATAATAATTTTAATTTTTAGAACTTTTCTCTAATGTTCTACAACGATTTCCAGAAACTTCCAGAATTTTTTACTACCAAAAAAAGAATGATCTACATCGACAAATCGGGGAATCTCTTTATAGCAAACAAATATTTGGTTAATTGACTTATTATTATGTAGCATATTTATCCTCATAAAAAATTACGAACACTTGCTAAAGAATTTGGTATTTCCTCAAGTTACTCAAATTCTCCGCAGTAAAGAAAATGGTTAAACATAAACGAGGATTCTCTTGAGGCTAGAGCTAAGAGACAACACGTATTTATCAATACTCCAAGCGTTACTGTTACGGCAGGGGCATGCAATTGGTGATTCTCATGTCATTACTAATGCTACATTACAAAATTGTATTTAATACTTGGTGAGTCTGAGTAACGAATTAGTATTATATAGTATCGCTTCATTGACTCGTCAAAAAAAATTGGCTAATGTACTCTTTTGCTCAACTTGATGGCTACGTTGAGACTGTAAAGCATTCGCAATATAGTAAATATTTATTATATTGCGAAACCTTATCATAGTAAATTGCATCACACAGAAAAATCGCGACCAAGGATTTAACAAGACATAATTTTCGAGCTGGACTGAATAATGTTCTGAGCGAAGAGCTAGGAAAAGGACAAGGCTATTCACGACTCGTGCCAATTTGAACGGCAAAACTACGAAATTAGTCGTAGAGTGTCCATAGGGTTGGAATCTTGAAAAGCGGGAGGGTGTGCTTATCCATCGTTCATGTCCTATGCCGCATACAATAATCATTCCTTGTTGTAAACGCGATGGGCTATTCCTGAGGGTTCTTCTCAGCATCGCTTCATGATGGGCTTGTGTAATTAATTGTTTTAGCCGTTACCTATACGAGTCGTTACGATAACCACATGTCTAGACGAATATTCCCGATACTCTTTACGTATTCCTTCTAAGATACAGGAAGCTTAA